AATGGGTCCAAGTACAGATCCCTGAGGTACCCCACTGGTGACAAGTCCAAGCTTCGAATATACACCATTGACTACAACCCTCTGTTGCCTGTCACTCAGCCACTGCCTTACCCATTCAACAATATTGGAATACAAACTTAAAAATTGCAGTTTATTGATAAGCCTTCTATGTGCAACAGTGTCAAAAGCCTTACTGAAATCTAGGTAAGCAATGTCTACTGCACCACCCTGATCTATAATTTTATTTACCCAATCAAAAAAAATCAATAAGATTAGTTTGGCATGATCTCCCTGAACTACATGCACATGTCTATCTTTATATGGTAGAAAGTACATTTCTGTCTGCAACAAATAGCCAACATAGTTATGTGGTTGTGTTTACAGTAGTACAAAGGAGGGCTAGGGTTGTGTACCATCTAAATAACATCTTAAAAGATTTCTCTTGTAAGCCCATTGAAATTGATAACTTTGCCAAAGCCTCCCATATCTACTCCCCCCCTAACTCCTATATATTCCCCAATATTCTGCATCTACATAAGTCTTCATGCACGTATCAGGGACCCATGTGAGTCAGGAATATAGCCTTCATGCCAGTATCAAGGAGGGATATAGGCCAGGACTATAGAGTGCATGGCAGTATCAATCAGAAATGCCACAAGTTAACTAAACATCATATTCCTTGCTCAGTGATGCCATAATCAAATGCTTTCTTGTGTCAGGCTGTTATGATTGACTATTGGGACTCTATATTTGAATACCTCTGCTTGGCTTGCCTTGACATGTATTACTTCATTCCTTATAAAGTTCCACCTCCTGTACACTAAAAGTAACCTGTCCGGTTACATTTTTAATAATTGGCTTCAGACTTCAGTTCACGTTCCTTCATGCCGATTGTTCTTTTCCTCAGTTGTTGGCTCCTGACTCTAGCTCTCTTTCCTGACTTCTCCCCCGGATCACCCTTTTTTGCCTGCTGCCCTGCTGACTTCCAACTTCTGCCACTACCCAACAACTTTTACGGATTGCCCCTGTATCTTGCTACTACATAGATATCATACCTCAGTTTACGAGTCACAGCCATACTCTCAGATCATGCTATTAACAGGCAGGATAGATGAACAGTCTCAAGTGCTCGTTTCTTAAACCTCTCCTTTGCCTTGTAACTATTCCTTCTTGTTTCAAAGCATCGCTGCTGCCTCCACTGTTTAAAGGACGGCTGTGCAGCTCACTGTTTATTCCGGACCTTCCAAGCTGCACTAGTCTGTCCCCACATGACCTCCTATTCAGTGTATTACCACGTAAATCTCATGGCACTTTCAACCTAAATCCAACGTATTATAGTGAGATTCTACTTGACTGTGCTTCGAACAATACTTATTTAGGAGGTAATTTACTGTACATATTGTATATAATTTATATTTCTATTATTTCTTTACCAGGTTACTCCTAATCAACCTAATTCCATTTTGTTTGGGCTCAAATGCAACAGGTCATTTAATTTACTGCTTAAACTATTGTGTCACAATTATTACACAATATCACAATCAGTGCCAGAAATCATGACAGTTATCAGGGAGAGATGTAACCCAGGGATATACAGTGTGCATATATAATTTATATTGCAAACGTCATTGTCTCAGCACAGGCAGGGCATGCCATACAAATTAGTTTAACCCCTGCAGTACCATGCTATTGAAGGAATTTCTCTCTAAATGTTTGGGCACACTCAGCACCATGCGATGATGATATTGACCTGAACTGCATTGGAAGCAAAGTGTGATTTTTATTTCTATTGCTACAGTACTCCTCCCAGTAAATGCTTCAGTAATATAGAATTTGGCACTGAGAAATGATGATATGTATTTTCTGCATTTTAGTTGTAACTTGCCTAGACCATCTTTTGCTTCCCTTGATTTGTTTACACAGCCTGCAGGACTACTAACGGGAATGGCATTCTTTCTGTGGAAAAAGTGCAGGAACGCTATTCCCACGCGTTCCTGCAGGACTCGAGCCTTGCAAATAGCAATATGTATTTCTACAGTGCAAAAAAAACTATATAAGGGTTTAATCCAACTTGAACTTCATCCAGAAAAATAAAAAGACAAGGAACATAAAATGTCTTCACCAAATGAATAAATAGACACTTCTTATAAAACATAGTAGTTGTACAAATTGGAACAAACCGCTTCTAGAAAGAAACAGAACACACCCAAAGTGAAATGTAAAAGAACGAGTAGAAAAAAAAAAAAATAATAAATTAGACTGGCTACATAAAAATAATTCTGGAAGATTTATTAGGATAGTCCATACACTGTTTCAGGTCGAAAAAGAGCCAGTTTTAAGCAAACACAAACTGAACTATTTAAATAGCATATACACTTATCAGTCACAACATTAAAACCACCCACATGTGACGTGTATAACATTGATTATATTGTTACAATGGCACCATTCAATGGGTGGGATATATTGAGCAGCAAGTGAAAAGTCAGCTCTTGAACTTCATGTGTTGGAAGCAGGAAAAATGGGCAAGCAAAAAGATCTGAGTGACCAGCCAAAATAAGGTCAAAATAGCGATGTCCAGACAACTGGGTCTGAGCATATCCAAAACGGAAAGTCCTGAGGGGTGTTCCTGATATGCAGTGGTTAGTACCAGACAAAAGTGATGCAAGAAAGGACAACCGGTGCACCGGGATCAGGGTTATGGGCACCCAAGGCTCGTTGATGCATGGGTAGAGCGACGGCTAGCCGTCTGGTCCAATCACACAGAATAGCACAAATTGCTGAAAAATGTAATGCTAGATATGATAAAAAAGGAGTCAGAACACACAGTGCATCCTCCTGCATATGGAGCTGTGTAGCTGCAGGCTGGTCAAAGTGCCCATGATGACCCCAGTACACCACCGAAAGCTCCTTCAATGGGGACATAAGCAACAGAACTGGACCATGGAAGAATGTTGCCTGGTTTGATGAATTGCTTTTTGTTTTACATCATGTAGATGGCTGTGTATGTGTGTGTTTTTTTACCTGGGGAAAAGATGGTAGCAAAATGTACTAAAGAAAACAGTGTTCTGCTCAGTGCAATGTAATGCTGTGAAAAATTAGGTACTGGCATTCGTGTGGCTTACTTTGACATGTACCATCTGTGACGGAGCTCATGTACTCCAACTGAGTACCTCTGCCCAATCTGCTTCCTGGTCGTTGAGTAGGGAGCCTGTCGCCAAGGCTTGACTGGTGTCTCTCTGAAGCTTTTCCACCTGACCAGGCTGCAGCTCTGCCTGCAATGTGATTGCTTTTGTCTATATAAACATCCATAACTTTATTTATTAAATCTCTTCTTTTTCTGTAACCAAAACGTTAGAAATAAATAAGCATAAATTAACATATATACATATATAACTCCACACATAGTGTTATACAGTGACCCAACTGTCCTTGCCAATAAACATACAGTGGTTCCTAATCACCACTTCCTCTCACCTCCCCCCTCGTCATAAAAATCATATCTTTCCAATGCCCGCCATCAGCCGACCTTATCCACGCTCGATGGGCACGACACCTCAGGCAACCTAATGTTAACCGTTTGAAGCAGGGGAGGTTGAGACCTTAAAAACTTGTTCATCTCATTCCATATACTTAAACGTAACCACTCAAACTCAATTGGCAAGGACATACCCCCAGCTAGCTGTGACGAAATATACCAATAGGGTGGGCAGGAGGGAAGCTGTTTGCTGGCCCGAATCCCAAGTTGCACTGAGGTAAGACCTCCCCCACACTAACTTACACAGAACATAATCCCACCCACACACTCTTTCCCAACCAATCCCATGCATCTATCCCCACACTCCTACATGTGCCCTTGTCTGCTTAGCTGCGCTATCTCCCAGGGCCTTGTATGTACGTAGTGGGGAATCGTGATGCAGCCTAGAACAAAATCTAACCCCATTCAACCCCCCAATAACGACAGACCACTTAGTATGGATGAAACAGGCCACCGCATTTATTATCACAAACGAAATTACTGCATAACACATCCATACATACCCCTGCCACAACCCCGCTGTTTTACACCTAAAATCTGGGGGGACCCCACCATAACCAGCCATGGTCTGTTCCACCACTTCTTGCAGTGCTAGATTAACATAGGCCTATTCCGACCTCCAGCAAGCGCATCCATCCCCTCGAGATAACTAGGCCACATCCGGCCAAACCCTAAGGCGAACTGGAATCCCCCAAGACAAACCCAGAAACCCATCTTGTCCGAATTTTGACGGCAGCGCACCAGGGCACTCACATTGCTGAGCGCACTGCCGACAGGAATGGGCGATAGCCTTAGCCTAGCCCCTGAGAACCTCTGGGAAGAAACAGAATGCATAACACGTCCAGATTGAAGAGCACCCAATACCCAAACCATCACCGAACCCATCCACCCAGAGATGACAAAACCCCTGGTACCTCCATGAGGCGGGACAGCTGACCCTGTACGAGGAGGAGCCACACCCCCTTCATGTATCTGGTGCCAGACCACCGAACCTCCGCTCCCGAAGGCGTAAGATCCAACCACTCGCCCTCGTCTCCTGGCCCAAATTACATACAAGCATCCCACCAACCCCATTCCAGGGGGTGGGGGGGGGACCGTAACCGCAGAGAGAAATCCATTCGGAGACCAGCAGGGTGAACCTGAGGAACCCACCACCATTCGAGCCTGGCGGCATCTGCAGCCGTCCCCAACGCAGAATAAATGCCCCTTGAACTCCCCACCATCCTTATCCAGGAATTCAAGCCCCAAGTGGAACACCCCAACTAAATGGACGCAGGAGAGAAAACCCATCTCCAAGAACCAAACAAGGGTGAGGATACTGGATAAACCAGGGGACGGAATAGCACTCCCAATGAAAAAAACAGGCAAATGACGGAACCCTGCACCGCCCCCGATCGGAACGGTATATTTCAGACCATCCTGGGAACCCACTACATCATGTTAGGAGCCCAACCATTACCCCGTGCATTTCATCTACCTCAAGAGAATGCAGAAAGGCCAGGGCATGACAACCCCGCAACATCCAAGAATTGCACAGATTCTATCGACGAATCAGCCAACCGCAACCGACTTACCCTTCCCAACGACAACAGCCGTCGAGCGGCGAAACCCGAAGGAAGTCCGTTCCAACGCTTACTCAACTCCACGAAAACACCTTCCCACTTGCCGACGACCATAACATGAACAGGAAGCCGAGCCCTGCTAATCGCAGAAATCACCCCCAACGCCCTTAACAGAGGGAACCAAACATGTAGATGAGCAGTCCACTCCCGGAACCCCCAAGGAAACGTCCCGATCACTCCCACCTTACTGGAGCAGGCCCCACACCGCCTCATAGATCGACCCACGGACCAGCTTCATCAGACCGTTGGACCAAGCGACCACCTCCACTGCCCTAAAAATTGACCCTGTGACACCTCCGCCCGAAGTACACCCTATAATGAACAAGACAGAGCATCGGCCACCACATCGGGAATACCTGGACAAAAAAACCCCGACCAGCCGCCCCTAGACTCAAACAGCGCCGAGCCCGGCACCGCAACCAGAGTAACACCGGGGTAGAGGGTACTGTCACATGATAAAGACAGCCAGAACCACCCCACGATGGTCCCAAAAAAAACAAAACACCCACCAGTTCGTGAGCTGGGCACCCCATGCCTACCATGCCACCAGAAAGGGGAAGCTCCAAGAACACCAGAGTCCGCCAGAGCCCCGATGCTTGACAGTGTAATGGGCAAGAGTCAGCACACCACTGAGAGCCCAAAATGGCCCCAAAAAACCCCAAACCTGCTGCAGCAGCAAACAGTGGGAAGTCAGCGGAAAAGACTTAGGGGGCCAGATTGCACAAGCCACCATTAAGGGAGGCCCAGAAGGAACCCCATACAGTCCCAAGGGCAACCCCAACAGGAAAAGCCCAGCGTACCCAGGAGAGTCCAAAGGTAGCGCAGCCGAAACCCACAACGCCCCTCAAAACCACCGACGCCTCCTGCCTGATGTCCCAAACCGCAGTCAGGGGCAACCGACGTTCCCTTTGCAGGAATCGATCCCACTATCCAGGAGACTACAGCACGTATCACGACCCACGGATATGGCCTGGGCCACGGAACTCCGAAACTCCAAAACACTACCCCAGGAACAACACTGCAGCAGCAGAGTGCGGACATGCGGCACTGACGGCCCCACACATAAGCGACATCGGGAGCAACTCACGTGGAGGCACATAGCCACCTAATCCTGACTGTCAGAAACACAACCTGACGGGCGTACCGGCAGCAGCCGGAAAACTGATTCCACAGCCGCCTTCGTCAGCAAGGCCCCATGGCCCCGCAGCCCCATGCAGACCGCTGCGCCGAGCCACCATCCCAAACCTAGCCCCGGGAAGGAAACGACAACTGAGTAAATAAGGAATCCGGCAATACCGACCCCGATGGAGCTCTCACATGGACTGAGGGTCCTGCACTGAGAGCACCCACGTCCCCCATCCCGACAGATTGCAGAGAGGACAAAAACGCACCGTGCTGAGGCGCCAGGTAAGCCCCAAGTAAAACCAGAGGCCAAAGCCCATCTGGTCCCAAGCCAAGAAGGGCCGCACCGCCAACCGTTGATGAAAGTGCAAAACGTACCTCCACCAACCCACCTCACCCCAGGGACGAAACGCGTCCCGAGAGTGTCCTAAACGCAGAACCACGCAGCGCATTCTCGGGGAGCCTCCTCCCCGACCATGCTATCCAGAACTGGGGTGCATCCGAATATGCGCCCTGGGGTGTATCTGACCACAGCAAGCTCCCCATGACCCTCCCGGAACCTGGGATGCCTCGCCGGCGCTTTGAGCTGCGCCGGACGCTGCAGGAAAGTGTACTTAAACATATGATACATACTGAAAACTAAGGGGGGGGGGGGAGCGGCGTCCATTTCAGTTCTTTTTTTTTAAAATTTTTCCCCTTGTACTGGACATTGTATTCCCTTTTTTTTTTTTTAAATTCAGTCCATTTGGTAATTTACATTTTATTTCTGTCCTGTAATTTTCTCCCTTTTTAATTAATTTTCTATTTATTTTTAATTCTTTCTTTATTTTTTTGTGCTAAGAGGACTAGACTGAATAAAAGAAGGAAGAACGTACGCACGCGAAGCGCTAAAAAGAAGGGGGGAAATGTACTCACCGGTCGCAGCCTGGCGATCCAAGCCCGGCACTGCGCTCACAGAAGGCTGAGGCAAAGAAACAGCAGTTCCAGCATCCACAGAAGACACACTAATTTACACAGAACATAATCTCACCCACACACTCTTTCCCAACCAATCCCATGCATCTATCCCCACACTCCTACATGTGCCCTTGTCCACTTAGCTGCGCTATCTCCCCAGGGCCTGCTCTCAAGCCTAGCTCTCTTTGATTTGTCCAAAGGCTAGAGGGATCATGCAGCCAGCCAACAGGTATGACAACTCTGTGGCTGGAATCTCTAAAAATTCACACAGGACACACAGTTCCAAAAGAAACTAACATATAAAGCTTTATTTACTTGGAACTAGCCCATACGATTATTACGTAAAGCTTACAGTGACACTCAAATAAATACATAAAACCAAATTATGTGAAGAAATATACAGGAACTCATAACACATAAACTTATTAATAAAAGGGCGGGGAAGGAATATCTCTCCTGCCTGCATAAACCATATTATGCAAATCTATCTAATAGGCAAATTAACAGAGTGACTTAGACATAGGAGTAGTCCAGAGTCCTATAATAAGTGTCCGTATAAAACTCCAGGTGATGGTGACTACCATCACACCACCTACCTAGAGATTGTTACAGAACACGTACACCCCTACATGGCAAGTGTGTGCCCAAATGGCAGTGGTCTCTTTCATGCAGGATAATGCACCATGTCACACTGCAAAAATTGTTCAGGATTGGTTTGAGGAACATTGTGACGAAGTGCCCTTCGCCACTTTGTCCTGGAGAGGCCTGCTTGACCGCCTCCTGCCCTGCGACTATGGCCCTGGGATGTATTGCCCTTCTAGGAACTGATGTGGGCATACTGGAGGCTTATATTGCTGTTTCTGGCCCTTAAATGCCCAAAGAAAGGATTTGTACTTTTAAACTGGCACTTCGGATGCAGTCGAAGTTGTCGCCATTCGAATAACGAACACGTGGCGGCGGCCATCTTTGTTCATTCGAACGAGGTCAGTGGTATGTGTAGCCAAATCCATGGAACTGAAATCGGCTACACATTTCAACGAACACCGCTGACCCTTACCTTCTCCTGCACTAAGTTTTCAGCCACAGAGACTAAGTTCCGTTCGAAGATTCGAACGCCCGTTCAAATGGGACTTAGTCATTTTTTCAGTGTGAAATTGACCGACACTGGAACTGTTTTGGGCAGGAAAATGTGCCTGCGGTCGGTCACAAAGGACTTCCGACTAACTTTTGAACTAATGGAAGGATCTGCATGAATGTTCATATTTCAAGTATGCTGATTAATAATATGTGGTTATATGAAGATTGGATGTGTGGTTTTAAAGTTACAGTACATGTATAAAAACTGTATTTTTCTTGCTTGTGATAATTATGTTAACCTATTGTGTACCATAATTAGATCACAGGCAGAGGGGAGGATTTTTTGGGGTAATTGCTGGGAGTGTTTTCTGTAATGTACATGTGTTATTGGCTGTTCTGTAAACCCTGTGGGTGGTCCTATGTAGGGAAAACCTGCATAAAAGAAGGCCCTTTGGTGCCAAGTAAATGAGATCCTGTTTGACCCTCAATACGTAGCCTTGTCTCGTTATTGGAGGGAGCTGCTATCATCACACTGGGGATTGCTATGCTCTGCATACTCCCCTGAGCTTTAATCACTTAGCTCTTTTAAGAGCTTGTTCCTGATACGCTCTCCTGGAGGAGAGGTCTTCCCCACATGGTCCTGGAGGACAGAAGCTGAACCATGGTGGACGGAAGACGGCGAGGCTCCAGTTAAGCTACGGCGGTTGTGGAGTCTGCGGTGGTTGTGGTGTCCAGTGCGGTGCTTGTGGTCCTCGGCGCAAGCTAGGAAGCGTCCATTAACGGAAGGGTCCGTTACAGTGGTGGCAGCGGTGGGATGGCTTTCTAGTGAGAGGAACAGCACCCTGGAGACACCTGAATTATTACGGAGCGATATGGAGCCAGCAAATCCATGGGCAGCGCTCGAAGTGGAGGAGGAGTTCGACTGGAGGTTACATAGCCTCTTGGCCCCATTGGGTGAGCCAGTATCAGAGGCAACCAGGTTGGACTGCAGAGAGGGCGCCAGGAAAGAGATGTGGGACGAAGACCTGGAGGGTGTCCAGCGTTGGCGAGGTGAGTGTCTCCCCAGTGAGCAGCAGCGACTACAGACCCGAGTGGCCCTGTGGATGCCTATGATGGGAGAACAGCCCAGGTGGGAGTTGGTAATGCAGCTTAATTCTCTGGCGTGGAAGGAACTGGGGCTCAACGACGCATACCAGGCGCTACATTGGTATGCAGTTCAGCGTGTTCCAGGGATGGCTAAGTCCGACAGACCAGAGGGTGAGGATTACAATGGCCCTGGCCTATTATGGTACACCTTTGCCGGACCAAGGTTCGGGGATGCTGCAGAGTCACGGCTATGGGACATATATGAATCCAGAGCAACCATTCTAGATCTCCCTGAATGAAGACCTAGAGCCAGACCTGTTTGAATTGGCCATCCAGGAATGGGAACTGGAGCAGGATTACCAGTACCTCCTCAGCTCCAGTCGAAGTTGTCGAAGCAGTCGAAGTTGTCGAAGTGTCGAAGTTGTCGAAGTCGTCGAAGTGGCCGCCATTCGAATAATGAACACGTGGCGGCAGCTATCTTTGTTCATTCGAACGAGGTCAGCGGTATGTGGTCTTCCCCACACGGTCCTGGAGGACAGAAGCTGATCCAGGGTGGACAGAAGACGGCGAGGCTCCGGTTGTGGAGTCTGCGGTGGTTGTGGTGTCCAGTGCGGTGTTTGTGGTCCTCGGCGCAAGCTAGGAAGCGTCCATTAACGGAAGGGTCCGTTACAAACATGACAAAGATTTCAAGGTCCGGTTAAGCATCTGTGGGATGTGTTGGAACAACAAACAAACAAACCCATGGAGGCCCCACCTCACATCTTGCAGGACTTAAAGGATCTGCTGCTAATGTTTTGGTGCTAGGTACCACTGGACACATTCAGAGGTCTTGTGGAGTC